GGCGTAGGGACCTCGGTAGCTGCAGCTGGTGTAGGGACCTCGGTGGCTGCAGCTGGTGTAGGGACCTCGGTGGCTTCAGCTGGCGTAGGGACCTCGGTGGCTGCAGCTGGTGTAGTGACTTCGGTGGCTGTAGCTGGCGTAGGGACCTTGGTGGCTGCTGCTGGCATAGGGACCTCGGTGGCTGCAGCAGGTGTAGGGACCTCTGTGGCTACAGCTGGCATAGGGACTTCAAGGACTACAGGAGGAAAGCCTTAGGAAGCATAGAACACTTCGGAGACTCAGGATCCTTTGGAGACTCTGGACCTTCTGGAGACTCGGGACCCTCTGGAGACTTGGGACCCTCTGGAGACTCGGGACCCTTGGGAGACTTGGGTCCCTCTGGAAACTCGGGACCTCTGACGACTCGGGGACCTCTGAAGACTCGGGGACCTCTGAAGACTCGGGGACCTCTGAAGACTCGAGGACCTCTGAAGACTCGAGGGCCTCTGGTAGAGACATGGGGACCTCTGGTAGAGACGAGGGACTCTGCAGATGCGGGACTCTACAGACGTGGGACTCTCTGCAGATGAGGAAGGGAAGTGAGAGGCGTCATACTGGACCCTCTTGGAGGGAGAGTAAGACGTGTCCTCCAGGATCCTCTAGGAGACACAGGGAGCAGGTGAACCATCACAGCCGCCACCCATTGAGACACAGGAAGGAGAGGGCAGCAAGGGAGAAGTGTCAGTGGACCGAGCTTGGATCAGACGTTGGCCCCTCTTGCAGTGATGGTGGCGCGAGCCAGGACCAGGGGCAAACTGGAGTTTCTCATCGGGGTCAGGCTTCTCCTTCGATGGCCACTTGAGGAACTCGAGCAACGAGGTGGGAAGGAGGAACAATCGGGCTTGGATGTCAGATGGCTTCCCCAGAGCTGAGACCCCTCCTCTCGCCCTCCTCTACCAGAAGAGGTAATGGAAGGATCTCTACCTCTGGGCTGCGGCGTTTGTCTCAGGGCAGGTACAATCTGGAACCCACTCCAATGGATGACGGACCCCTCCTCTTGCGGTTGAGTCTCGCTGGGCTGAGTAAAAAACACTGGAGGCACAGGGGGTACTGGCGGGTTGAGTTGACTGAAGTCCAGAAAGGTGGGCAACCGAATAAAGGCATTCGGAGCTCTTTGCTCCTCCTACACCTCCTCAAGAAGCTCCAGCATCCCAGGGGGCTCAACCAGTCCAGGCAGCTGGGGGAACTCATCTAAAAAGTCCTTTGTGGCCACCTACCTAGCCAGTGGGTTGCTGGAGGTGTCCACAGTGTCCACAAAGCTGTGCGTCACTCTGGGGAGTCGCTGCTCGTCTTTCGGAGCGAGTGTAGCCAGGAATGGGCAGCCTGCTGGGTTCTTTTTAAAACTGGTCATTCTGTTGGGATCTGGAGCGGTGGTTGAACCCAAGTGCAGGCAGGACTCAGAGAACTCCAAGGGTGTAATAACAAAACGGTTTATTAAACAAAAATAAAGAGCTGACGTGGCAGCACAACTCACAGGCTAACTGGGAGACATGGAGGGTGGAACACCAGACAATGACCAGCTGACAAGGAACAGGAGATGCAAACTTAAATACACATATTAATGAAGGGTAAACACAAATGCTTGGGAAGAACAGGTGGAAGACAACATGAGGGAAAAAAGACAGGAGTACGGTAACAGGCCACACGATGGAGACACACCAGGGGACACAAACAATGTTTGGGCTGCTGATGTTACGACATATTGTTTTACATTATTAGTGTTAGTGTAAATCTTAGATCTTTTAGTGTACTGTGTGGTGTTGGTTTAACATATTAGTGTAAGTCTTAGATCCTTATTTACTGTTTCTTTTTACGCTTTATATTTTTGCTATTGTTGGGTGTAACTGGGATCCTGTGCACATAGTTTTGTTCCACCTCATGTACCACATGTGGTGAAATGACAATAAACCTACTTGAATTTGAACAATTCTCACAACATCAATATAGCCCCCACAGCCCTTAGCAAACACAAGTGGCTATAATTTAACGTCACAGACGTCAGCTGATGGTTATTGGTTTGACATTTTCAGAATCTGGCTTCAGTTGTTTTCAAATAAACATCTGTAGAAATGCAAAAATGTTTTTAGTTTTTTACATATACATACATAAACATGCGATCTCAATTTGTAAACAGGATAACTTTTTATAACTTACGTTTTTTTTAATTTTATTGTAATATTCAAGGTTCAAGGTGACTTTATTGTCATTCACATCACATGTGGTACATGAGGTGGAATGAAACTGTGTACTCAAGGTCCCAGTTACATCCAAAAATAGCAAAAATATAAAGTATAAAAAAGAAACTGTATACAAGGATATAAGATGTACGCTAAACAATAATAATGTAACGCAGTGTATCAGACAAGTACTGAACCAATGAGTCTTATTGAGAGCACATACAGTATACTGCAGATTTCAGAACAAATATGACCCCCGGTTGACTTTAAACAGTGTAATAATATGATTCAATTACTTGGTACAAGTCACTTACCTTATATCACATAATTTTAGGCGCTTTAAGGAAGTCAGATTTATTTGAGATGCCCAAAAAATAAATAAATCAGTAAATAAATCTTCATTCAGCTGCTCTCTTCCTCAGGGGTCGCTACTGCGAACTAACTCGCACTAAGACTTGGCATTTGTTTTTTCTGCCGGATGTCCATCCTGACGCAACCACAGATACCGAGCTACCACAGCCTCTGTGTGGAGCAGAGAGCTGCATCTAGGGTGCCCAGGAGAGTAGATGGTGGGGGTTAAGGGCCTTGCTCAAGGGCCAAGAGTGGGACGAATGAGGGTGGAGGATGTTGTTGGTCTGGGGAGTCCAACCAGTGACCTTCCAATTAGTCTCACCTTCTTTAGCCTCTGCACTGCCACTCAGTATGATTTATGTATATATTTTATAATACAAACCGGATTCCAAAAAAGTTGGGGCACTAAACAAATTGTGAATAAAAACTGAATGCAATGATGTGGAGGTGCCAACATCTAATATTTTATTCAGAATAGAACACAAATCACAGATCAAAAGATTAAACTGAGAGAATGTATCATTTTAAGGGAAAAATCTGTTGTTTCCAAATTTCATGGCGTCAACAAATCCCAAAAAAAGTTGGGACAAGTCCATTTTTACCACTGTGTGGCATCCCCCCTTCTTCTTCCAACACTCAACAGACGTCTGGGGACAGAGGAGACCAGTTTCTCAAGTTTAGAAATAGGAATGCTCTCCCATTCATGTCTAATACAGGCCTCTAACTGTTCAATCGTCTTGGGCCTTCTTTGTCGCACCTTCCTCTTTATGATGCGCCAAATGTTCTCTATAGGTGAAAGATCTGGACTGCAGGCTGGCCATTTCAGTACCCGGATCCTTCTCCTACGTAGCCATGATGTTGTGATTGCTGCAGAATGTGGTCTGGCATTATGGTGTTGAAAAATGCAGGGTCTTCCCTGAAAGAGATGACGTCTAGATGGGAGCATATGTTGTTCTAGAACCTGAACATAGTTCTCTGCATTAATGGTGCCTTTCCAGACATGCAAGCTGCCCATGCCACAAGTGCTCATGCAACCCCATACCATCAGTGATGCAGGCTTCTGAACGGAGCGTTGATAACAACTTGGGCTATCCTTGTCCTCTCTGGTCCGGATGACATGGCGTCCCAGTGTTCCATAAAGAACTTCAAATCGTGACTCATCTGACCACAGAACAGTCTTCCATTTTGCCACACTCCATTTTAAATGACCCCTGGCCCAGTGCAAACGTCTGAGCTTGTGGAGCTTGCTTACAAATGGCTTCCTCTTTGCACTGTAGAGTTTCAGCTGGCAACGACGGATGGCACGGTGGATTGTGTTCACTGACAATGCTTTGTGGAAGTATTCCTGAACCCATTCTGTTATTTCCTTGACATTGGCATTCCTGTTTGAGGTGCAGTGACGTTTAAGGGCCCGGAGATCACGAGCATCCAGTAGAGTTTTACAGCCTTGACCCTTACGCACAGCGATTGTTCCAGATTCTCTGAATCTTTTGATGATGTTATGCACGGTTGATGATGATAACTTAAAAGTCTTTGCTATTTTACGCTGGGTAACACCATTCTGGTATTGCTGCACTATCTTTCTGCGCAACAATGGTGGAATTGGTGATCCTCTTACCATCTTGGCTTCTGAGAGACACTGACACGCTGAGAAGCTCTTTTTATACCCAGTCATGTTGTCAATTGAACTAATTAGTGTTAATTGGTCTTCCAGCTGTTCGTTATATGCTCAATTTCCTTTTTCCAGCCACTTATTGCTACTTGTCCCAACTTTTTTGGGATTTGTTGACACTGTGAAATTTTGAGTCAACATATTTTTCCTTTAAAATGTTACATTTACTCAGATTAAACTTTTGATCTGTGTTATATTACGAATAAAATATTGACATTTTCCATCTCCACATCATTGCATTCAGTTTTAATTCACAATTTGTTTAGTGTCCCAACTTTTTTGGAATCCGGTTTGTATAATAAATATATTAAATTAATAAATTAATTAATTTTTTTTTTTCTTTTTATACTTTATATTTTTTTGCTATTTTTGGGTGTAACTGGGACCCTGTGTACAAAATTTTGTTCCACCTCATGCCCCACATGTGATGCGAATGACAATAAAACCCACTTTAACTTGATATTCTTTATATAGTAAATAAATGATTCTGTAATAAATAAGAAGTCAAAGGTGCATCATGTAATATAGCATTAATTATGAATAAATGAATAATGAGCGGTGTAGTATGGCTCACCTGATCTCTGCGATGGCGGTGGCTGCACGCTCTGGCTGGTTGTCGTAGAGATTCACACGATAGCCTCCACTGACAAAGATCATGGCCCAGGAGCGGCCGATCAGACCACTAAACAGAAATAAAATCACCCAGAGAAAGAGAGGAGCAACATCATCTACCTCATATTTGATCATTGCCAACTAAGTTGCATAAATGGTCAAGCTGAGGGCATTTGCATATAGATCATTTTCTTTTTGGGGTCATGGGGTGGCTGAGTGGTTAGAGCAGTCGTCCTCCAATGCAAAAGTTGGGGGTTTGAATCCACCAGCAGTCACATCATGCCGAAGTGCCTCTGGGCAAGACACTGAACCCCTTGTTGCCTCTGATGTGTGTCCCATCAGTGTCTGAATGTGATAAAGCTCTGATTAGTCTTTGTGGAATGATTTGTTCAATTATCTTTGTAGGGATCTAGTATAGAGCTGTATGAATGGGTCAATGAGGCACAGATTGTTGTAAAGAGCTTTGAGTGTCTTTATCATACAGACAAGTGCTACATAAGTACAGTACATTTGCCATTTTTGACATAACACTGCATCAGATTTAACTTGTGGTTACAATTTGCTCTGAATCATGAGCAAGACCTGATGTTGCAACATTGTCCTGTCTGCATTTCTTGTTTCCACAGCTCTAGCTGCTGCAAAAGAAAGACTAATCTGGAGACTTTGACCTGTCAGGCCTCTCTAATGCTCATTATACAGTGTATAATACACTGATTAACACCAACATAAAAGTGATGGTGAAACAGATTTCATGCAAAGTTTCAGTGTTTACAGGTTAAATAAAGCCACTTATACCCAATTCAGCTGAGTGCACAGAAAAAAAGAGCAGTGTGCAGAAACCAAGTTGAATACAAGCCAACTCTAAAGAGGCAAATGCACTGGAACCAGTAGATGAGACAACTGGGAGCCTTCTACCTGAAACAGGCTCACGTGTGTTAAATGGTGTTAATACAAAAACATGTCCGGACAAAATGCAACACATCAATAAGCTTGACATGCAAAGATTTAAAATGCATTGGAAACAGTACCTACAATACAAACTCCACAGTCTTGAAACTATAAAAGCAATGACTAAACAAACACTTCTGATTTATTTAGATACAGCGAGCACGACTGTTCTGTATTTAAAGTTCAAGAACACTTTCAAGACGTAGGCTTCGACAAAGTGGAAACGTCTTCTTGTTGCTTACCTGCCAATCACGGTGATTGTTTTCAACTCAGAAGTACTCATTTTATGATTTATGTGATATTTAATCTGCGAAATTTTGATTCATCCACAAAAATCTGCAAAAATTCTCACACCGCCCCACCAGTGTCACGAGACGTACGGTAAGCCAGTTGGACAAAATTAATGCAGCAAGAAAACCACAATAAAATAAAACTGTTTTCTTATTTAGAACAAAAAAGTCTCAAACGGTTTTATATCTTAAATATAACGATATGAACGTATTATTACTGAATACAACTAATATTGTGGGGAAACGAAGAACAACCGTGTTGTAGCGTATTCGTGTATCCTAGTAACGCGTTTCAACCAATCACGTTAATGCTTCATGATGCGCGCCTCAGGAAGCGCCAATCGGAAGCAGGCAAGCAAGTCAGCCCGCCCTTTTCGCGTTGAACTCTGGGTAAAATATCTATTACAACAACAAGAGTTTCCCGTTAGCTTGCAAAGATATTTATTTTTTCTAAATATATTTTTGTTTAATTTGGAATAAAGAGCGATGGAGAATGTACATCTGGCTGTAGAGGAGGATGATCTTTACTCAGGTTACAACGACTTTAATCCAACATTTGACTCAGAGGTGCGTTTTCCGCTAACCTGACCCATTAGTGGAGATTAGCAGCAACACTGTTTTCATGATAACAGCTGCAACTACAAAAGCTAATGCGAAACGCTTTTAAAGCTCTACAAAAGCTGGTGTTGAACAATAACACAGTTACATTGCTGACACTACAGTTATGTCTGAAATAATTTGCACTTTATTTTCACATTGCCAAGGATCTGGAGAATGATTTAGGCTTCCAGCAAGCAGTTCGAACAAGTCATGGAAGAAGACCTCCGGTAAGACCGAGTTCCTCTGCTTTTATTTTTGTTTTAAAGAGAGAGAAGGAAACCATCAGGTCCATAGAACATCTGAAGGTTGCCACGTTTTATTGTTGATTTCGTTGCCGTCCAAAATCTAGTAAAGTTGTCATTAAGTAATGAATCTTTAAGAAAAAATAAAAGTATGTAATTCATAATGTGTGACTTGAATAAGTTTTGATTTGGCTGGATCAAAAGTATTTCTGAGCTCATGAAAACGGGAATGTAGGATGGTTTAGTTGTACACGAACTTCTTTTTAACATTTTATGTATTTGAGAATATTCATAACCAAGTGATGTTTTTTGTAATTACTCAGGTGACTGCAAAGTTTCCAGGCACTGCCCTTGGAGCTCGGCCTTTGGCTACATCCTTTGGAGTAAGTATACTGATTTGAAATTATACCTGATTTACAAGCACACATGGCCTTAAAAAAGCACGTTATAAGACTCCTCTCCTTTTTGCCTAGAATAACATGAAAAGACTGTAACTGTGCAGGCAAAAATACTGGTGTACCTGAAGATGATGACTATTTTCTTTGTAATTTTAAACTATTTAGAAGTGCAAGGTTTAAAAATCCCTCACATACAGTATAAAGATGGCAACGAAAATACCCAATTCACGTTAGGAAATGTGTCTGTTTCACTCTAATATCTATATTTCAAATTAAAAGTTCTGGTCATGTGTCCTTTTGTTTAGTCTCGTGTGCCTTTGGCCACCTCGATGGGCAGACCTATGACTGGAGCTGTGCAGGTGAGAGCCTAGTCCAAGTGTGGGTTTCTTCTGGAACATCATGCTGCATACCACTTAACGTCAATAAGTATTTTTGCCTTGGAAAAAATCATACCTTCATGACTGATCTTTTTACTTGTTTTAGTCTAAAAACCACAAAGGTTTGTTAATGAAAGTCATGAAAGTGCTATGTATTGTCATCTTTGGACATTTCTAAATAATGACAGAATTAGTTCTCTACATTTAGATTCAACCCATCACGCATGAGATACACCCAGGTGGAGCAGTGGGCAGCTATGAAAATGCCTAGGGAGCAGTTAGGACTAGGTTTCTTGCTCAAGGACACCACGAAATGTGGACATGACGGGGAGTTGAACCTGCGACTTTCTGGTCCCAAGTCGGCTGCCCTATCACTTGACCAAAGGCCCCCACCATCGTGGGGGCAGTTTGATTAGTCGTGGCAGGGACTGTTCAGCATAAAGATACTTCAACTGGAAAACATTGCAGTCAGCTCTAGTATAATTATATAAACCTGGGCTTTTTATTTTATAACAAGGCACAGTGTTTGTTGAAATTAATTTAAAAAAGTTAGCTATTTATGTAATTATTTGCATGTATGTCATTTCTCCTGTGAAAGGAGGGGGCAACTCGACCAATGACTGCTGTCAGAGCAGCTGGGTACACTTCCTCTATGGCGCGTGGTAAGTTTAAAGAAGCACCAACAAGTTGACATATATATATATATATATATATATATGTAT